TTTGTTTGTCCTGCCATCACCATCGTACCTACAAAATCTAATAATACATAAAAAGTAAATCCTACCTGCGACCTACCTGTACCCACCCTCCATCCCTGACCTCCCACCACCGTCGTACCTACATCTAATAATACATAAAAAGTAAATCCTACCTGCGACCTACCTGTACCCACCCTCCATCCCTAACCTCCCGCCAAACCAACAGTACCTACTGTAAGGGGTAAGTTGAGACGCGACGCACATCACGTGACTTATAGTCACGAAAAACCTGTTACAAATATTAAGCAAAATTAGAACAGTTCAATATCTTACCTATATTTTTAATAAAATACTCGCGCATATAACACATTCCCTGTGGTGACTCCTCTATGTCGATCGTCCGTACTACAGTAAAATGTTGGAGATCGAATATGATGCAATTATACATACCCTTTTGCCTGAGAAAGCCAACAGACGTGCAGAGACCGGAAAAAGAAACCAATACTCAGCAAACAAGAAGATACAAGTTCGGAGGGAGACCAAAAGATGACCCACTGGATAAGACGATATAATGAAGCCGCTAGTCGTCGATATTGGACAGACGTCAAGAAGCTTGTTTATTGGGACGAGTGCATCGAAGAAAGAAGCTTTGTGTCGACCTTCCTGCGGCATTTCACGTTGCTTGAGCAATGATGCCAATGGCAGTCGGAATTAGAATTTCGAGCAGAGAAAGGGCGAAGCAGTAACCGAGTACGTCCAAAGGTTTGGTAAGCTACTTAAGAAGCTCTATCATAAGGGCGACTATTCTAGGGAAGTGGCAAGATGGTTGCTTGTGGTCGGACTGAGAAACTACATATTGTCATTACCCGCCGTTAGAAACGCTACCACGCCGAGAAGGGCGCTCAATGCAACAGTGGAAAATGAAAGGGAAGCAAGCAAGACCCTGGAGAAATGTTCCAATAATGACGAAACTGTAGCAGTCAAAAATAATGAAAGAAATGATAAGCGCGGTGACGAAGAGAAGAATCTCGATCCACGTACAGTAAAAGAAGAATCCTCACAAGTATCGAAAAACGATAGCCCTATTAAAATTCCGAATAAATATTGTAGCACGCTGATGAAGCTAGTAGGGATGCTAAATAAAAAAGACGATGACGTGATGACAGGACAAACAAATGAAACGCTGGAACTCACCTATGATAGGACGAACACGGATCAACACCTTGATGAAACAATAACCAATTATCCCAGCAAGGCCAACGATGATGAAGCCCTAGCAGCCAAAGACTACAAGGGGAAAGATGA